AAGAGCTATTTCAAATCACGGAAACGCAGTAACAAAACTGCAAAGTGAACTGATAGCATTTGTGCCATACTATAATGATGTTCCGGGTAATACTAATAATAATGGTCCCGTAGTAACACATGATGAGCAGCAATACAGTTAGAGAAAGTTGTAGATAAAAAACAATTCAGCGGTAGGACAGGTATAAGTAACACAAGCAAAAGTGTGACACTTCCGCTCACACCACGTGTTTGTTCATAGCCAGTGTCATGTTATGGTTGTGTCGACTGTTCATGACTTGATCGATGTTTCGTTGACGTGTTGTATTGTTATACTCTCTTTCCTTCGTTCGATCATGTTTATGTATGACCGTTATCATTGCGTCATCTGTTATGACGCAACCAACATCTTCTTCTTCCTTATATCCATATCTGACTCTCGACCTATCTCCCCTCTCCGTGAGGTACTGTATATCTCTTTCTCTCTCTCTTGTGTCTCTCTCCATGTGTGATATATATATATATATATATATACATACGTGTGTCTTGCATGAGAACAGAAGCAGTTGTTGGAAATAAAGATTAGTCCTAGTCCGGAACACTTCTCTCGTAACTGGAAATCGTTACACTAGGATCGGAATTGTTGCACCCTTAAAGACAGGCGTTAAATAGTTATAGGTACTACCTCTAGATAGGTTGTAATGGATTATAGAGACCATCCCTTGGTAGACCTTGAAGAGTTATAGGTGCTATCGCTAGATAGCGCTCAGAAAATTGTAAGGTATAAAGGATAAGCTAGATAAAATATGTCTTTACTAGTAAATATTTTACTTACTTTATCTTATTCACCTAAAGAAACAGTAAAGTAAATATGTCACTCCTAACTCGAATAGCTACTAGTGCTGATTGTCGCAGAGTTTTTGAGGTATCTCTAAGCGCCGCTTACATGGCATGATAAAAGGTGTCAGATTCGAAGAAATTGTTGACACTTCGGTTGAGTTTGTGTAACTTTTCTTCCCTGATGTCCTATCGGCAGGCATCTACCATCACTTTTTTCCTTTTGCATTTCTAATACTCTCGAAAAAAAGACAACTCCGACAAATATCCTCGAAAAGATCTCACTCGACACCACTAAAAGTCAAGAAAGAGTCAATATTTATTCGCTATCGTCATCTCCGCTGACGGAGTAGAAAATTTTTAAAAATACAGCCGCGGTCGATAAACACGCTGGCTCACACCTTTAGCGAGGATATTTTTCTGAATGAGATGATTGCAGAGGAAACATTTCTTGACAAGTCCGCGCAACTCATTTCGAGAAATATTGCAGTCTTCAGTTTTATTGAGGTTTTACGGGAAGCCCAAACGATCACTACCGTCTAAAAATCAAATTTTGTAGTCGATGCACGCTGAAGACAATGCAACCGACTGAGCTGAAGATTTAGACGAAGATAGATCTCATTCAAATCTATTGAATTCCGTCTGTCATCTCATTACTGATCATTATAAGAACTGTTGTGCATAGAATTGGCAAAATCATATTTTCGTTACAGATATCTTGCTGCTGATTTACATTAAATCTTGTTAACAAGGATCAGTAAGCACTGACTGAGAAGTTACAAATCAAGTAGTAGCTCCAATCAAGAAACGCAGAGTTATCCATTGATTCGGTCGCACATTCAAGTGAGGCAGAGCTTGCAGTGAAGAGAAAGGGTAAGAAAATAACGGATAGTGACTACGATACAACACTATTGCTATTTCTTTTACAAAAGAATCTAGAAATCATGTTCGCCTACGATGCACCAGAAAGAAATGATAACGCGCTGGAACGAGTGCTGGAACAAGTGCTGGAAGTATACGATGAACTCAAGGCGGTGAAATCCTCGCTGAGGAGGGCGCTGCGAAGCGCAAAGGGAAGGGCAATCCAGAAAGTGGCAGCGGCAATAGCGAGTGTGTCCGGGGCAATATTAGCAGTGGGGCAATTAATGATAATATCGGAACCGCTAACGTACCTGGCAAGAGTCGCGGCGGCAGTGTCACTGGTAGTATTGGTGCCCTATGCAGTTGCGGATGCAGTAGACGCATTGAAAGAGTGTGGGTGTGTGTCGGAAGTGTCGGAATTGGAGGCGGCACTGCATGACCTGGAAAAAGCATTAAGAGAACTGAAGAGAGCACTAAGAGAAGTATAGTAGATGAAATAAAGCACAAAGGGTTAAAAGAGAACGGAAATGAAATGGACGTAATAAATGCTTGATTAAATAATAAAATGGTTTTTAAATAATAAAATGGTTCTCACCAGTTCCTAGACCATCTTGATAGCTACACCGTGTCCCCGACGACCCGACATTTTACCTTTGATATTACCGACTTATACACTATGATTCCTCAACAACAGTCCGTGGCTGCAGTTTGTCGACTTCTTTCAAAAACAACAAATCATAAAATAGACGGTATTTCGATCGACACTATTGTTAGATTGTTACGTTTCATACTCAACAATGCATTTTTCGCATTAGGCAAAAAATATTACAAACAGATTAAAGGTGGTCCGATGGGGTCAGCAGTGACTCAAGTACTAGCCGATGTTGATATGATGAAGTGGGAAAGTGTAGCACTTTCTTAGTAGGCATAACTAGAAATGATGCCGTTCATATTTAGAACAGACTTCTCGGAAATCTGACGCCATCAGACTTACGAGATCACTCCTGATCTTTGCGACGAAGAATCGAACTAGAAGCTCAGTTCGAGATGGCTTTTTCTTTGACAAACGAGTTTGACAGCTCTCGTTACACTTGATGAGCAGTTTGAATTAACGAATCACTCTTATGCCAATAACGATTCACTGTGATAGATGACGCGAGTGTCTTAGACAGACAGTTACGGTTCTTTTTCTTCTCTTCTTTGTATCTGTTCATTATTGAAATAAGTTCCCACTAAGAACAGTAGCTAAGATCGTTTCACCTGCATTTCAATCAGTGAAATCTTCGGGTAGTTCAAGACTAAGATTAACCCTTTGCGGCCGGATGTAGCCAAACGGCACTTCGATAGCAGTCTACCTCAAGATCTCGCTCATGCTAGTATCGAATATTGCTTCTATGCTGCGATAGTGAAGATCGGACATTTCGACGAGAATGGGTAATTGAATGTCCATTTGTTTCACAGGATACGTGAATTAATTCAAGACACGTCGAAAACCGCCTTGATCACATTTGTCATCTTTTCTGAGCATAGGTGCACTGCAGTTAGGAGCCATTCAGGACTCAATCACCTTTGATAGAGAGCTATTCTACTCCATTATCAACAAGTTCATATCAGTTGCTAAAGATTTCAAAATATAGCAATGGTGCGGTGCCATTTGGCACTTCCCGGCCGTAAGGGGTCAAAAATCTATGAATTCGTGTCGAGTGTAAATAACAACTGTTCAAGACTTCTGGTGCATTACCTAACTCTAGTAATCACTAGGAAGCCATTTTATCTATCAATCGCTGTGTGGGAGAACATCTCATTGCGTATACAAATCATAAAGCCTAAAAAAGGACTGAATCTGATACTTGCAAATGTAGGAAAGCATTCGTTATGAGGGAGAGCTACTGTTCTTAGTGGGAACTTATTTCAATAATGAACAGATACAAAGAAGAGAACATCGATTTTCCAGGTAGAGTCTCCACTGTTCAAATGTTTTTACATGTTCTCAAATTCGATGAGAGTTCCGCATGTGTATATTAAGATTGAAGTTTCCCGAGCAACGCTGGGTCCTCCAGCTAGTATATGATAAATAAATGATATAAAACTATGATGAAATAATAGCACTGTTTTTATTAAAATACAAGATAAATTACATATTTTCCAGTTATTGAAGAAACTTTTTCAACTTCAAAATAATGTCCAGCCTGTAAGAGTACTTCTTGTTCATCAAGATGATGTGAAACTGATGAAATGTCACTTAGATTGGCTGAATGCATGAATATAGTTTGAATTTCAATAATAGATAATGTATTACCATGAAACGATTCAGCTACATGAGGATCTCTCGATGTTGATGTAAATCCTAACCAATTGATTGCACCCTTTCCAATGGTCTGTTTATATTCTTCAATCATTTCATTTGCTAATGTACCACCGCGATAAAGAATTAGTTTTTGAAAGGAACGTTTTGGATTCATTAAATGTTTTAGTACCAAATAACAATAACCACCTAATGTATCAATTTTACTTCTATCATCTGCTCTTAAATTCGAATTGAATTGAAAATTTTATTGAAATTCAAACTATATTAATGCATTCAACCAATCTAAGTGACATTTCATCAGTTCAGTTGGGTCGTATTATCGACAACGTNTCTTTTTGATCTGCATAACGCGATCGCGGCTGATCACTGATGCGATGGATTCCACCCGAGTGGCGCTCGTCCAGAAAAACCGTTGCACCGGGAAGGAATATATCCCTGTCACGATCAGAGTACCAATGAATCTGTGCATTTCAGTTTCTAAAATACTAGCAGGCTTATTCGGATTCTACTGAACCGAATACAGATTGGACTGATCTGTCAGAAGTTTCATCGATTGTTCACCAAACATCGAATTGATATAGTCGATGGGTTCTGGTTCTGTACGGAGTGGAGGAGGTGGAAAACTCCCAGCAAAGCTTCCCACTGGTGGCACGAAGGGTTTCTCCACCCAATGCATCTTCTTCGACTTTTGACTAGTGTGTCTCGATTCTTCGGCATCGCACAATCTCCATTGATCATGGGCGACTTGACGATCAATCGTACTTGATACTAACGGATGGAGATATACAGAGCATCATCTTTTAACATCAGGTCAACACAGTGACCCGTATACCTCTGTAAGTTTCGAAAAGGACAGCGCCTTTTCTGCCCTTTCTTCTGCATCTTTCTTTTGTAAAGCAGTCCGTG